ATCAATATTAGCCATAAAACTCTTTTAACAATAAAAATTTTGAAGTTATATATTTGAAGTTTTAAAGCCCATTAATCAATATAAGCAACCAACTTTTTTCCACTTCAATAATGGAGTAATTACAATATAATCACCTTCTAACAATGTCCAAAAACCATGCAAGTATAGATGAAGGTTTTTAAAACCCTAAATTGTTGCTAAAAACTCTTTTTCTATCATGGAATAATTCATTTCTACTGGTTGTAATATATAATCAATGGAATGATGCTAATCAAGCACATTCATGCTTTTTGTATCAACACACCTCTAAAACTAATATCAAAAGTACCCACAAACAAAATGAAATGTTAAAATTCACCAAAACTAGAGGAGTTGTCAATAGCTTTTTGAAAATCATTTATAATCCTCAAATTAAATGAAAGGCCATATTAACAACTTTAAAAATGCTTATAGTCCTCATACCAAATGAAATGATGTTAATGACTTTAACAACATTTGTAATGGTGTAGTATAATAAAAAATATAATCAACAAAATGACTAAAATATTGCACTTTGCTAAGGAAGTACTACACATCATTTACATACTTCGAAGTAGGGAATTTAAAAATAACTAAAGTTTGTGAGAATTAACTTGTAAACTTTCATGAGAAATGTGGTACCCATAATAAGTTAGTATTTTTAAACTCAAATACACATTTTGACCACTTTAACTTCAAACCAAATTCTTGCAGCTAATTCAGTATTTTATAGACATCATGCCCATATCCCCTTTAAGTAGGTCAAGATATCATTAATGAAGTTAGTAGTCACCTCCATAAAAACCTCACCCACTATCTACTAAAAAGTTGTCTTGTTTAAATTAAATAGCATCATGAAAAACTCATATAAATCAAATGATGCATGGATAATAGTTTTGGGAACATCCTTCTCTTGGCCATTGGCACTTATCAGTACCCCAAAGCAAGATTTGGCAAACCAAGAATTTCACCTCAAATAATCTAGAATATTGGTGGTGTAGGGAAAAGGGTACATATCTAGGATTATCATATCATTTAATAGATAATAGTTGATATAGAAGGAAATACTCATATTAAGCTTCATTATAAGATAAGATTCAAATGCTTAAGGAATTTGATACTTTTTTATAACACCTTTCTTCAACATCTTTTAGACATTTCCTTATAAATTATTAATCTCCTTTGGTGACTGATGCAAAAAAGGAATCTTGATTAAATGAGCAAATAAAATGAAATGTTACAATCTTGACTCTAGACAATAAGTCAAAATCAAAGATACTCCTACTTAAGATGATAGCACAAAAATTGTTTGAGGGATTCGAAAAGGGAATAAAAGAACAAAAAGGAAAGAAAGTAGGAAATAATAGAGAGATAAAAATGATAGAAATAGAGGTAAAAGCAAAATAATAAAATATAATAAAAATGAAAAGAATGAAAGAAATGTAAAGGAGTATGAGATAATGGGAGAAGATTTAAAACCGTATTTGGTATGATTGTTATAGCACACAACAAATCTATATTTGCATAATTGTGTTGTAACCATCTTATACTAAAGATGGTTTAACTTGGCACCACCTCCAATGATTAAAACTTAAACTCGAAATCACCTATACATACTGGATCATTGCCATAGAGAATGAAAACTAGCTTTGCCAAATAATGCAAATATAGATGGCAATATATATAAAGAATAAACTCAAATCTGTATTGACAAGTTTAAAAAGGATAATGGTATACTTTTTGCTATAAAACTGAATTTAGAAAGTGAACATAGAATGAATTAGTGCCCCTTAATGATATTCTTGAAAGAAGGATAGAAGGGTCACAGATTTATTTGCAGAAGGTCCTTAAACTATTGCAACTCTTTATTTCTTGAAAGTATTTCAATGTCAAAACCTTCTACTAAAGTAATATAAACAAAATGTTGATCTTAAAGCCTCCACCTAGGAAATGGAGAACATCAATCCAAAAAACATCAATAATGCTGATATATATAATTAACCGCATCACACACCTAACAATAAACATTATTACTACAATTATATCCTCATCCTTATCTTTGAATATGGGTAGTAGTAGCATCAATCTTTATTAGAATAAATGTACACCAACCTAACACCAATAGTTACATGTGCTTTAGGTTCATTTCCCATGCTCATTCCCATAGAATTGCTTATACTTATTGAACATTGTGATTCTCTCAGCTGGGCTAGCTTCTGAAGCCATAATTTTGAGATCACCTAAAGGTCGTCAAGGCATATCTCAGAGGACATTAATCTTTAAGACTTGATTTGAAACAAACAGTACCTTTACTACTTAGAGGTTCCTGGCTATCCCCGGGCTGGCAAGGTGGGAGCTAGATCTGAGACTCCTCGATCGATAACAGTTAGAGATTAAGAGGGTTCTGCAGCTCATCTATGGCCTGGAGATAAGTTCAAAAGTTGTTCTTGGCAGAAATTAACAACTTTGCTTCAAACACCGAGCAGTATTAAGTATTTAAATTATAAGGTCAGAAAAGATAATGTTGATCAATAAAAAAAATTAATTCAACAGAGAGTTGAATAAATTGCTTAAGCCTCGATAGCTCCGAGCTGTCGCTGCTTCCACCACCTCGGTTTCCATGCCGTTGCTTGTTTCAGCTGGAACGCTTGGTCCAGAGCTCGAAACAAGCGCTTCCACCCCACGTAAACGCCTTCAATCACCAGCGCCGCCAGCTCCCGTGGCGGATCAACCCGGCACACCGCCCCCTCTTTCGTGAAGCTCAGCACTCGTTCGCCACTGTCACCATAACTCGCATCGAACTCTTGCTCAGCCTGCGCCTTCTCAAAGCACTCCCGGTAGTCGTCCTTGTCCACGAACGGCGGCTCCTGCTTCATGCTCTCCGCGAACAGCACGTTTGGAAAGGGGGTGACGCCGCCGTGCATCAAAATGGCTGCCAGGAGTATCCTCCCGATCCGACCGTTTCCATCCTTGAAGGGATGGATGCTCTCAAACTCGAGGAAAAACCGGGACCCGAGCTTGAGTAGCGTCTCGGCCCAGCTCGTGGCATTCGATTCCCTCATACCTGTGGATGAGAGCTTTCGGAGCTCTCCGTTGGTGTCACGGACCAGCCTCTCCAGAGCCGCCGGTATGTCCGACGGCCACATGAAGACGTGCGGCAAGCCAATGGTTGTCGCGGTGAAGGCGATCTCCTCGTCGCGGCGCAGCCTTCCTGCGATGTCCGGTCGCGTCGATCCAAGGAGCCGCTTGTGCACCTCCAGGATCCCCGGCACACTCAACTCCTGGCTTCCATTCGCCTGGAGCTGATGGATCAGGGCGCTGTGGAGACAGCGCATGGCCTCTCCGGCCTCGCCGCCAGTGCCGCTACTGTCCAGCGCGCCCGCTGCCATCGCCACCTCGGTCGCCTGGAGCGTTTCGAAGCCCTCGCCCTCGATGTGATTGACCTGGAACAAGAAATGGCCCAGGCCCGTGCGCCGGCCGTAGGCTTCTGCCCAGCGCCGCTGATCCCGTGGGAGAAGCGCGTACCTCCTCATGCATTCGTGGATCCCTTTGAGCATCTGGCTGGTCCGCGGCACGGGATCGCCAACGCCGACTCGCTCGCGCCTCCAAAACGGGCACTCCTCCACATCAAAATTCTCCATTGCCTTGCCCTAGAATAGTTGCCAACTCGGTCCCTTGGTTGGCGTTGGCGTTTTCTCCTGGAGCTCTTTGATAACACAGGCGGCTTCACGATCTCACTGGTAACGCGTACTCCCTCTCCAGAATGGGAGCAATGTCCGAAAGGTCAGCTTTTTCTTCCTCTAAGATGGCTTTCAAGAGCCGAACGAGTCGAGGCCCAACACCGGTCCTTCTGGATTCGTGATCGTTGCACAGCGAACTCCGAGGGAATCGAGAGCCGGCGGAGGAGCAGAAAGATTCTGGAACATGAGAAAGAAGTTCAGAATCTTAAAAGTCTTCGCTGCTACCTAGCAAGCTTTGCTCACCAAAGTTCGAGGGTGTTGACAAGTTGAAATTTTGTGGAACTTTACTTACGGCTTGTGGAGAGCTAGCTCTCTGGTCCTGGCAACAGCAGCAGTGGCTCGCCGTCGGTTTCTTCGAGCTCATCTAGATCCTCGACACCCTCGTCGAAAAGTTCCAACTTTGTGCTAATGTAGATTGGACCCCATCCGTCACGGAGAACGATCCAGCCGCCTGCCTGCCTGTCAAGCCAAAGGTTAAAGCTGGAGCGACGATCTCTACCTTTAGAGAGCAGGCGATCCTACCATAGAGTTTGGCAGCTCGTAGAGCGGAAACAAGAGTGCGAGCTGCCGCTTGGCGCAATTCTCCGTGCGTCGGGGCGTCCATGTCCCGAGCTCCTTTGTAGCAAGTGTCGCTCGGAGGAACAAGGTTCGTCCACCACACCTACAAAAGAAATACCCCGTTGATCATATTCCTAGCTAGCGTGATCATAGAGATCATTCAATACCATTGCGACGACGCGAATGGAAGTCCTTAGAATTATCTGGCACGTACTCGGAGATATCCTGCGTTGCGGCATGACTATCTGGATGATATCGGCATGATCCATGAATATATTCCGAAGCAGTGCCGTGTTTGAGACAATCGTTGAGCGTCGAGATTTGTCGTTTTAATACTGTGGCAATCTTGCGCCCGCGAGTGGCGCTCCAAAGACGCTCTGGATCTTCCACGCGATGCTTGCCGAGGGCCTCCACTTCGACGCTCTCAGTCTCGTTGTGTCTCTCAACTCTCGCTGCGTTGCCGGGCCTGGAAACCTCTCCATGGTGGAGAGAATCCACTCCTGGATCCTGGAAAACGATCGAAAACTCAGTGCCGCAACTGGAACAGCGCTGCTAAAGATGTACCTCAAGTGTGGGAGCGTCGAGCGAGCCGAGAAAGTGTTCCAGGAGATGACCCACCGGAACGTAAAGACTTGGACGATTCTCATCGCGGCACTGGGCGAGAGAGGCTCGATCGAGGAAGCCATGGTAGCTTTCCGAGCAACGCAGCTCGATGGGATCCAGCCAAACAGCTTCACTCTCGTCGCCATCTTCCAAGCTTGCGCCACACGGCTTGAATCCAGAGAAGACGATCGAGTGAAAGCTCTTTGCAACCAAGCCGTGGAGAGCGGCCTGCTAGCGTCGGGTTCCTGGAACGCCATCGTCGCCACGGCTGTGATTGGCACCTATGGAAAGTGCGGCAGTGTCGACAAGGCGCTGGAAGTTTTCGAGAGAACTCCCAGGGAGTCGAGGGACGTCGTAGCATGGAACTCGATCATCACAGTCTTCGTGGAGCAAAACAAGCCGGAGCTCGCACTCAAACTCTTCTGGGAGATGCAGCTGGAAGGCGAGGAGCCGACGAGAATCACGCTCTTGAAAGTTTTAGCAGCAGCCACAGCGTCAAGAGATCTTGGCGTTGGTCGTTTGATCCACCGCAAAGCTCGGCTTCGATCGATGGACAGAGACTTGGTCGTAGGCACGGCGCTGGCGAGCATGTATAGCAAACTTGGCCGAGTGGAGGAGCTCTTGGTGGAGAGGATCGAGCAAGGCGGCCGCGACTTGGTGTGCTGGAACATGATAATCTCGGCGCTCGTCCAGCATTCTCGGAGCAAAGAAGCACTGGCCTACTTCCGGGAGATGAATATCCAAGGAGTAAAACCCGATCGAGTGACGCTTGCTCCACTCATAAGCAGCGCCACCTTTCCAGAGAACGAATCCAAGATGATACTTTGCGAGATCTCGCGGAGTGGACTCTCGAGTAACGCGGTCATCAGCAACGCCGTTCTAAACTTCCACTCCACGCGAAGGGCCGCAGGATCGAAGAGGCAAGGAGAGTTTTCGATGGATTCCAAGAGCGAGACCTCGTGTCGTTACGCCGCGGAGGGATTCGCGAGAGAGGCCGTGATCCTCTTCCACCGGATGAAACAAGAGGGATTCCAGTCGAGTAGCGTGACTTCCACCGTGATCTTCGCTGCTTTCTCGGAGCTCCACGGCTTGGAAGAAGCTTGCCGGGTGGTGACAGTCGAGGAGAACTTGGAGCCAGCATCGCTGTGGAGCCTCCTGATCTCTTCGTGCACGCAGCAGGGTCGATCCAAGCGAGCGCTGGAAATATTTCGAGCCATGCAGCTCCAAGGGATGCGAGTGAACAGGGAAACGCTCGTTCCAGTCATTGTCTCTTGTGGAGCTTGCTCGGCTCTGCGAGAAGGCCGCTTGATCCACCAAGAACTCCAAAGATCAGCTCCAACGATCCTGGAGGAGGGCACTCGGCTCAAGAACGCGATGATCGACATGTATGGACGTAGCGGCAAGCTCCTCGACGTTGCCCACCATATTTTCACCGAGATCAAGCAGCCGAGCGTGATCTCCTGGACGGCGATCGTCGCGGCCTACGCCCAGAATGGCCGCGTCGAAGAAGCCACTCTCCTCTTCCATCTCATGAAGCTAGACGGCTCCTTGGCCGACACGCTCACCTTCACCACGATCCTGTCGATGTATAGCCATGCCGGGCTCCTGGAAGATGGCTGCCACTGCTTTGGATCGATCTCCCGGGACCATTTCCTGGCACCAGCCCCGCAGCACTACAACTGCATGAACGATCTCCTGGGCCGCGCCGGGCCGCCGAGTGTTTCGTCCGGGCGCCCGCCTGGACGGCATTGCTGAGCGTGTAAAACCCAGGGTGATGTGGATCGAGGGAAGCGAATACAGCCAAGAACCCTAAATTACAGTGCAGAACCCTAAAAACAGAGTTCCAAGATGAGGAACCCTAAAAACAGGGGAGGGTTTTAGCAATGGCGATCTGGGCAAGGATCGGTGCGCTGCATCGATCCTGGACAATGCGGCTGTATTCCACTGGATCGAATGCATCCGGCGAGTATCGGCCGCGCTCCAAGGCGTCGCGAGTGCTCCAGGTGCCCAGGTTTGAGCCAGACCCCACAAGAACCAGGGCGCCAACGGGTAAAAGATAGCGAATTTCTTCCTAGAATTTGGCTTGATCGGCATTGCAGGGATTCTGGACAACCGGGGATTCACGATCATGGATTTTCTCAAGACAATCGGACTGGAAGCTCACCACGACAAGCTCAAGACGCGGTGTGCCAGCTTGAGGGATGTGCTGGTGATCAAAACCGAGGCGCTCAAAGATCTGGGTCTTAAAGTCCGGGACGTAAGTTTGCTTGCCATCGCTTTTCTTCCATTTGAATCCTTGGCTTCTTTGCAGAGGAAATTGGTGCTGAGGCACGCTCACAATTACCGGCTGGGCATTTGGCAGCCGCGCAAGTTCAAAGCGGTGGAAGAGAAGAAAGGAGGCACGAAGAAGTGAGGAGATATTCGTGAACGCTGTAAGCACTTTTGTAGCAAAGCAAGTCCCTTTCATCAATTGTGACTACCAGACTAAACACGCAAGAAGTTGTGTAATGCTTTCTTCTTTTTCAAAAATCTTGTAGTCTTGTTTGAACCAAATTAAATTCAAGTGTTCCCTCGTCCCCCCAAATTGGTAATCATCGTGAGTTGTGTGAGTTGGACTTGGGCATCAGATTAAAAAATATAAATTAGCTGAAAAATATTTACTATATGAAATAAGTTTTTTTTGTTAAACTCAATTCCATAAAAAAGGGTTTTCATTCCTAATTTAGTTAAAAAATCTTGTTTTAATTATAAATTTATTTAGATAAATCTTAAAACCTAATATGATGCATAATAAAAAGTGTTGTTTCCATAATGTAACCTAATAGGTAATATAAAAAACTTTGAAACAAAAATTTAAAAATCTTTTTATAATCTTAATAAATTGCTACACGTTGCATGCAACACTTTTTTTGCTTAATGGTAATTTTATTATTACTTATTAATCCAATTGATCAAATAAAATTTATAATTATAAAAGTGAAAACCATGTGTGTTACATCATACATAAGAAGTTAGTCTCACTTTATTAATTATTCATATCCTTCTCATTCCCTTTTCAAAGGATGTTTTTTTTTAATCATTAGCTTTGTTCAAACTCATTGTATTCATTATCACTTTGTCATTTATGTTTGGCCCTCCACTATTGCATATGTTTGTTTTTACTACATCAAGGTTGAATTTTCCATTTATATTTACTATGTTTATTCTCACTTCATAATCCATATTGTTCCTCCTCACTCAACTACTATATATGCTTATTTTCAGTCCATTGTTGAGGTTAGGCTTTTATCCATCCCTTTTACTTCCTCCTACGAAGTAAAAAAATGCTTGAAAGTTAAAGCACAGAAGAAACCAAGAAAAATTAAGAAAGCACATTGTGGAAGAAGAAAAAGTGGATAAAAAAGTATTACACAATGTATATAATTATAACACATATGATCATGGGATGAGATTTAAATATACTGTCACTGTGAATCCTTAAAACCTTAGGGGATAAATGAGGATATAATAACCATTAAAAGCTCTCTCATCAATCAGTTGCCTTTTTTCAATTGGTTTGAGGGGAAAGAAATAAAGTGTGTTATAGTAATTAGTTTCGAGTTTATGTCTGAAGTGTTTTTATTTCTAACTCTCTCTTTCTATTTTTCTTTCAGATTTTGTTTTTATCAAAGAAATGTTTAGTCACTAGTGGTTTTGATTGTAACCCAATGCTTTTTACAGTGGATGATATAGGATTATGGTTAATATTAAGACAATTTGATACAATTTTGAAGCTACATATTTTTAGGAACTTTGTTCATTTTCTAGATGAAGGGAAGACACCTGCATTAGACATTAAAACTTTGACATAAGCAAAACAAGTTTGTTTTGGTTATTATACATTGATAGATTTATTTTGGTAGTTTTTTGAAGCATTTTGGAAATTCTATAGGCAAACTAAGCACGATGTTGCCATTGAATCTCCCTCAAGTGCTCTAGAAACTTATCATAACAATTGAATTACATGAGTACCACTTGGCTTTTCTATTTACTAGTACCAAGTGTTGTTTCATATGCAAACTCTCATTCCACTAGCTCCACGTAGAGAATAGAAGGTATGAAAATTCAACACCTCTAGCATGAAGCAATTGTAGATCAAAACTCAAAGCATTGCTAGTGTAACCCTTTACATTTGTTTTACATAGACATAGATGGGAAAGTGTGATTTGGGACATGAGCACCATGAGCAATATGCTAGCCTAGTTTGGCATGTAACACAAGTGTGTTTATTAGTATTTCACAACAACATATTTTTAATCAAAACCCCACTCTTTTCTTTATTTCAATAGGAACAGACCAAAACTAGTATGGCACTGAAGACTTGGGTTTCCCTACAGGGGGCTTCCTTGGAAGAGATGAAGAGTCACCAACAGATGGATCTTCATTAGGAGAATCAGGGAGTGATGTGTTTGGATTAGGAATATCAGGGAATGGAGTGTCTGGAGGAGTTGGGTTCTTATTGCCAATGTCACCACCACTATTACCACTGCTATTACCATTACAAATAGAAGTTCCCACATCAGGATCATCCCCACAAAAGTTGTTCATGCATGCTAGTTTTCCAAAACATTCATTGTTACTGGAACATGATGTGCCACATTTGCTAAGGCTACCACCATTGCCACCACTACCACTTTTTGATGGGCCTTCTTTGCGATTACCACCACATATGTGGGTATTCATATTTGGGTCATCTGCACAGACATTATCCATGCATGCAATCTTACCATCACAATCACCATCTTTGTTGCATGAAGCTCCACAATTTTTAGCATTTGCAATAGTGTAGAGACAGATAAGAAGAAAAGATGCAAGCAGGATTGTATATCTCATTGTAAATGCTATGTTTAAAGATTTATTTACAGCCCTTAGATATGCATAGCCTTTTATATAGATTTAATTCATTTTATATTTGAAATCATGCCAAATTCTGCATTAGTTTCCATGTTTGAATACCTTTTAGATATGACTATTGACTTGACCAAAAGTAAAGAACCTAATTTTGTACATTTATATATACCAAAATATATAATGAATATCCCATTAGATAAAATACACTTCACAATTTTAATAGGGACTAGTTAATGGCTTTGGTTAATGAATGAGAGTTTTTAAAGGGATCATTTAAAAAAATCAGCTTTGTATGTACTACCTAGGGTGGATGTCAATAGTCCAAGTTGATTTTAACCCATAGAGCATAGCAGAATTGATCCATTGTGTTTAGCTTAAATTGTTTTCTCTTCTTCTTCCTCTTGCCCTAAATGCTCTTGAGTTTGTTCAACTTGCTAATTGCAGCACCAAGGGCCTTCTTGCAACAAGATTGTTGCCCACCAACTCACAGCACTAAGGAGATGTTGTACATAGATTCCTCATTGAATCCTTCTTACTCCTAGCTTCTTAGTTGTGACAAGATGGCCTTTATATCTGTTTCTCATGCACTACTTTGTTCTTAAACATGCTTGAGAACACCATTGGTCTATGGTCATTCATAATATGCCAAGATTCTTAATTTCAACTTGCCCAAAAAGATGATGAGCTATTTCTTGTACTAAGACTTATTTCCAATCACCTGAACTCACTAGAGAACTCTCTCAAAACTTCCAGCACACTTTGGATTATTATGTTTCCACAGTTGATAGTTATTGTGAGTATATGACTTTAGGTATTGAAAGATACTCATCAGCCAGTCTTTACAGACACCTTTTCTTTACTACCATAATGGCAAGAGGTTGGTACAATTGGATCCCTTTGGTAGCCCCTTTTGTGCTAGTAAAGTTAATTGGACATTTCGAGTGTATTTAGACCAAATGAGCATAAAGATGGAATTCTTACATGTTATTAGTTAAGTATATTTAGCCCAATAAGGAATTCTCGTCTCATTGTGTTTGCACTAGCTAGTGACAAGAACTTTTGTGTATTAAGTTTAATCCTTCAATATTGCTACATAATACTTTATCGTGTTTGCGAAACACCCTCACTATCATACCGTATATGTTGATTCTGTTCCAGATTTATATGCTATTTATGGTAAGTGTCCAAGAGGTATATCTATAAAATGTAGAGAGTGTTCTGAACCCTATAGTGTTGTTCTTGTTTTCAAATTTACATCTAGCGTCATTCCATATTTAGTAAATTTCATGCTTATCCCAAGTACTAAAAGGGGCTTAGGGTGAAAGCCTAAAGCATGTGTTCCTAGGTGGGGGGGGTGGTTGAAATGCATGTTTAACCACTTGAGACATTAGTTTGGCTTTTACTGGGATATGTCATTCCCTGTTTTGCATTTAACTTGGGTTTAAACCCAAGCTTTATGCTACTTTAGTTAGTGGGGTACCCTCTTCTTCGTGTTAGGCCACTGATATGCCGAAATCATGCCAAACACCATCTGACACCATTTAGCATGCAAGTGCTAGATACGGGGAGCTAGTGCTCATGGGATTGCGAGTGTACTGAACCTTTGTTTCATAATGCAAGAAACTTAGAGTTCGGCTCCAAATTTATATGCGCTATAATAACAAACAACTCCAAAATTCCCTCCCTACAACACTAGAAAATGGGACAACTTTGGATAAGCTTCCCTCTCTAGACACTCTAAACCTTCTTCCAACACACTTACATTGCTACTACAAATTTAGGAATACTATTAGACTATGGCTATTCACAAGCTATAAAAAAATTTATCTCAAAACACACTCTCTTCTTTCTAAAAAAAACTTATTCCTTGGAGTGAGACCTAACTTGACATCTTTCACTCCATCCTTTTCTAGAGTTAAAATCCTTGTGATGTTTATAATGCCCACCATCTCCTAAAAGCTTGGATTATTGTCCCAAATTTTTGCCCTCCTTACCTTGTTTGTGATCTTTTTAAACTCATCCAAGTTCCCTAGATTGCCTCATTCTTAATTCTCCTACTAAAATCTTAAAGATTCCTTAAATTTTGCCATCTAGCATACTATTGTCTACATTATTTGCCATGTGGATTTAACCATACTTTACTATTTCCATCCTTAATCTAGTACAATTATATTGCCTTACCCATCTCTAGAAAGTTGTGATAACAAGGGATGTTAGAAACAAGGATATAGGAGTTAAAAAATGTAAGTATAATGAGGATACAAAAGAACTCTACATGTTCTAATTCTTTTTCAACTATTAGGATTTCCTTTTCAATTGCTAATATAATTAAGTTCCTTTGAATTCCACTATCAATTTTCACCTCTTTCAAGATGTTTTAGTTTCGTGACCTTGTTACCCCTACTACTCCTTTTGCATAGACTTCTTTTTGATACCACACTTTGTAGTGTACTCACATTAGTTCCATTTATAATCTCCTTTATGTCCAACTGATTTCATCTTATTGAAGCCTTCATGTCCCCAGGTCTCTTCCAACTACATTCTTTATAAAGGGGTTTGCTCTTCTCCTTCTTTCAAGTCTTGGCTTACTTTGAGTAGTATTCTTTTGCCTTCCTAATGTTTAATATCATAAATTTTGCCATAAAAACCTTTCCCATATATTTTTCTCTTTAGAAAAT